AGAGTGCTGACAGACTGGAGAGAGTGCTGACAGACAGGGGAGAGTGCTGACAGACAGGGGAGAGTGCTGACAGACTGGAGAGAGTGCTGACAGACTGGAGAGGTGCTGAGAGACAGGGGAGAGTGCTGAGAGACAGGGGAGAGTGCTGACAGACAGAGGAGGTGCTGACAGAGAGGGGAGAGTGCTGACCTCGCCAACGGCAGTGGAGTCACACAGCACAGTGCTGTACTGTCTGTCCAACTCGGGAGCATTATCATTCACGTCCAGGGTCTCTATGGCAACCACCACCCTGGTCACCTGACTGGGATTGTCTGGAAACGGTCCGGAACACACCACAAGGTCATCGTGACTACACCTAAACCCATTCTGACCGCACAGTGCACCAAGAAGTGGCTGCAACATCAACGCAGCCACACAAGAACATCATTTCAACCTTCACCAGAACCATACACATTTTCCATTAAAGGGCATTTGATCTGCAATCTACATTTTATCCAAAAGGCAGCCATTAATATTAATAATTAGGTGTGTGGCTTAGTGTTGCGGGCACAATCATCAGCACCATGACATCACAACCCCTGACCTCTCTGTGTAGCGATGACAGTGATGTTGTGCCACTGATCAAACTCGCGGTCCAACTCTGTCGCCGTGGTGATGAGGCCGCTGTCAGGGGCAATGCGGAACAGCGTCTCCGGGTCAGTCTGGGGGTCTATGGAGTATCTGAGGAAGACGGATATTAAGGAGTGTTAGATATCCACCAGCGGAATGCAGTGAATGCTAGGACTCTTATTATGACGGAAAATGCGGTCAATCGCACTTTTATTATGACAAAGAATAGGGTCAAAACTGATGAAGGCAGCGAAAAAGGCTTCAGTGAGTACTAGCTGAATTCAGCTCAGTCACCTGATGCTACTGCTGAGGCCGGTGTCGGGGTCCACGGCATCCACACGGCCCACGGGGCACGGTGGGGGGCAGTTCTCATACACATCCAGCAGGTACGTGGGCCGCGCAAAGCGGGGTGGCTCGTCGGCATCCAGCACCTGCACCCTCACAGCGGCCCGATCCTTAAAGGGGCCACGCCGCAGGAAGCGGGGGTCCACAAGGGGGTTCAGCACCTCTATTGAGAAGGAGTATGACCGCCGGCTTTCGTAGTCCACCGCCTGGGGGGGATTCCAGCATGCAAAATCAATAAATAAAACACATGGAAGTGATGACTCAGGCCTTATAGACAGGGTCACGAATCGGTACAAGGGGGGGTCTAACGGGAAGAAAAGGGACAATGGTGATGAAACAGGCAAACACACAAACAGCCTATACCAGGGCTGGCCCCCCGCCCTCTTCATGGCCCTAAGCAAAACTGGATTAACCTAGATGACCAGACATGGGCCCCTTGTGGCTGTTGGGCCCTAGGCAGCAAGTTAGTTAGCTGATTCCTTGAAGACGTGGCCACACAGGGTTTGAGGTCATCATCTAGGGAAAGCAAATGACACAAAACCAGTGGCATCCAGGGGTGGGGCTGCAGGGGCACCGCCCCCAGCTGAATGTTGATTGGTCTACTACCCTGTCGATCTGACTCAAAACATATCATTGGCTAATGATAATATTTGCCCGTCTGAATTAATTATGGCTCCTCACCTTAAAGAAAAACCCTCGAATCAGCCCTGACCTAAAAGCAGGAGAGCCCCGATGAGCCCACCCCGCCCCGGGGGAGAGACGTGAGGGCGAGCAGCGCCCCCTGCTGGCAGGCCGAGTAGTATAGAGGGGCTGTCGCTTCCCCTGCAGACACACACTCATCATCCACTCTCCCCGGGCTGGGCAGCACCCTGGGCCACCTCATTTCATCCATTGTCACAGCCGGGCTCAGTCATGATTGCCCCTTGCATCTCGTCCTCCCTCGGCGTCCAAGCACAGTCTGGGTTCATCAATCTCCCTTACAATCGGGGCTCACCTCTCATAATCCACACTCATCTCGCGTTTACAATCAATAAACGTGTCCCTCTCTCACAATCCCTACTCACCCGTTTCGTTATACACTGATCTCCACTGTTCTATCGTTAGATTGTGTTTTTATTTTCTGAGCAAATACAAACTTACTGCACAGATAAATACCTTTAACATTTTCTTTGACAGGCAAAGACTTTCGAACAGTATTGTGTAAAAACAAATAGTAACAATAAAGATAATAATAAATCAGTAAAATAAAAATAATAAAAAGCAAGGAATTCAGTAGCTGTAAAATGAAGATGTGGGACAGTATAAAGGAAGGGAAGTGTCTTGCTAGTTCTCAGACACCTTGTTCAGTATAAGGACAGCATGAGGGTCCAGATGACAGGTGTCATGTCGGCTTTCTAGAACTTTCCACCAGCATCTCATCTCTGCTTCTTATGGTTCATGATAGACAACGACCGCCTTGTTCAAGACGTGAGGCACAAACTTTCCAGTCACTCAAAGCCTCCGCATCAACAGTCTCAACATCTCCATGCATGATCTGCCCGTCATCCTGCCGAAGGAACTCATTTCTGTCTCTGCCTCACAATCAGAACTCCCGCCTGACTCACTAACACAAACTTGTTGCCCTCTTACAATTAATTAACCCGATTTCAATCCACTACTGCTTTAGTGGAACGCATACAGATTATATTGATCCAATTAGCAATAATGCCCAAGCAAATTTTCTGAATTTTCCAGCACTGGAGCACAAATTAACACATCCCACTCTCTTTACTTAGAGCCAACTCTCATTTGCTAATAACACTCTCTCTCGGTCCGACTGGAGACCGATCTTTTCAATCTAATTTCACAATCAAATTTCCTCCTTGAACTGGAAAGTAAAACCTTGCTACATTCATGTGTTTTTAACTTCAGTAGATGCTTTTAGGCAAAGCAGCAAAGAGCTGATAAGGCAGGGTCAGAAGTTCCCAGAATGAACGTCTCGCTGTCTGCCCACCCTTGGATTTGAACCTGCAACCCTCTGATCTCACAAAACACACTGAGCCCCCAGCGGCGATCAGATACCTCTCTTTCTGTGCCACTATGGCGTCACCAGCAGTTGGCGGAGGGATGCGGGGTATATCTCTGTACCCCTTTGTTGGCTTACATGTGCACATGACATGAGAGTGTGTGCTCATGTTTGCCAGGGGGAGCAGGAATGGAGCCGCAGGCAGTTTGTCAGTCTGTACATACAGATGTATATTAGCACTGGGGCCCCTTACTGCAAATTTTAGGGGCTCCAGCAGATGATTCATCTCACCATGAAAAAATGCGACACAACCTTCATGCTAACAGATTATTTGGAAGGTACACCAGAAAGAAGACTTGTCTGTCAGTTAGCCACAAACGTAAGTGGCTGGAATTTGCAAAACACTACTTCAACTTTGACTGGAACCATGTTCTATGGTCTGATTAAACAAAAATTGAGTTTTTTGGCAATAAACATAACATAAGAAATCTACAAACGGGAGGAGGCCATTCAGCCCATCAAGCTTGTTTTGGGAGAACTTAACTAATAGGTCAGAGTTGTTAAAATCTTATCTAACTCTAATTTAAAGGAACCCAGGGTTTTAGCTAGTATTACACTAACAGGAAGACTATTCCATACACTAACTACACGCCGTATAAAGAAGTGCTTTCTCAAATCCATTTTAAAATGTTCTCCCACTAATTTCCACTTATGGCTACAAGTTCTAGTATTTAAACTAATATTGAAGTAGACATTTGGCTAAACAGCATCCAGATCTGTTAGAATCTTATAGACCTCGATCATGTCCCCCCTTAGTCTCCTTTGCTCGAGGCTAAACAGATTCAGCTCAGCTAACCTCTCCTCAGTGAGAGTGAGATTCCATTCCTCTAAGACCAGGAACCATTCTCGTAGCCCTGCGTTGCACCCTTTACAAGGCAGCAATGTCCTTTTTAAGGTATGATGACCAAACCTGCACACAATATTCTAGGTGGGGTCTTACCAAGGAATTATATAATCATAGCATCACCTCCCTTGACTTAAACTCCACACACCTAGAAATGTAACCCAACATCCCATTGGCCTTTTTTATTGCTTCCCCACACTGGCGAGAGTGGGACATGGAAACATCAACATACACACCGAGATCTTTCTCGTAATCAGCTGGCTTTATTTCAGTGGAACCCATAAAATACCTGTACTTTATATTTCTGCTCCCTGCATGGATTACCGTACATTTATCACTGTTAAATTTCCTCTGCCAAGTATCAGCCCAGTCGCTAATTAAATCCAGATCCCGTTGTAGCTTCTGTGCTGCTAGATCAGTATCTGCTACACCACCCACCTTGGTGTCGTCTGCAAATTTAACCAGCTTACTGTATGTATTGGTGTAAATATCATTAATGTAAATTAGGAAGAATAGTGGTCCTAAAACTGAACCCTGCGGTACCCCACTATGAACGCAGGGCCACTGTGACATTGTGCCTCTAATAACTACTCGCTGCTTCCTGTCAGTTAACCAGTTTTCGATCCAAGCTGCCACAGTTCCTAAAATCCCTGCAGCTTTGAGCTTAAGCAAGAGCCATTTGTAGGGGACAACATCAAAGGCCCTCTGGTAATCTAAATAGATCACATCGTAGGCCTTTTTGTGATCAAAGCATTCGAGGTAGGTTTGGCGTAAAAAAAAAAGGATGGCTTTAATGAAAAGAACCTTATCCCAACTGTAAAATATGGTGAGGTTCTGTGATGTTGTGGGGCTGTTTATCCTCCAAAGTCCCTGGGAACCTTGTTAAGATGTTAACATGGCATTATGGACTCCAAGAAATACCAGAACATTTTAAATCAAAATTTGGCTGCCTTTGCCAGGAAAATAAAACTGGGCCGTCACTGGATCTTCCAGCAGGACAATAATCCTACACACATGTCCAAATCAACATAAAACTGCTTAGCTGACTACAATATCAAGCTTCTGCCATAGCCATCTCAGTCCCCTGACCGGAACCCCACTGAAAACCTGTGGGCTGAGCTGAAGAGGAGAGTGCACAAGAGAGGGCCTAGGACCCTGGATGATCTGGAGAGATTCTAGAAAGAGGAATAGTCTCAGATGCCCTGCTCTGTATCTCCATCCCTTTAAAATGTTATAGGAGAAGACTCAGTGCTGTTATACTGGCAAAGGGTGGTTTTACAAAGTACTAAATGCTGGGGTGCCAATAATTGTGACATGTATTTACTGGACACAATTAATTATTGATGAAGGATTTGTTCTTCTTTGAATTGATTAACTTCAATGAAAGGTTGGATTTTTCTCATTTTGTTAGTGTGAGATGAAGCTACTTCACCAAAAGGTAGATTTTTACTAACCTTTTTTACAAATCTTTACAAGGGGTGGCAATAATTGTGGAGGGCGCTGTATACACAGTATGAGAGGAAGAATATGAACACACATACATACGCACGCTCGCACACACACACACACACACACACACACACACAGACACACATCGATTCACTCTGGAATCCTGCCCAAGGAGGCCACTGGTCAGACTCATAAATCAGACACGGGTCATGGTTGATTTCCGCTTAAATGGTCTGTTTGATAAATGAAATAAAAGGATTATAAATAACACGGGCCTGGGGGGGCTCATGTGACCTGACGCCTTGCAGCCAAACCATTGTGGACACATCTCTGATCAAAGCTGCTAGCCGGCTGTACAAATGGGGTTTGGGAAGAGGCAGGCAGGCAGATTTATTATAAACCTACATTTAATGTGTGGGAAGGAATGGCTGCTTTGGATTCAGGAGCCAAGGGTTAAGCAGAATGTGTGCTACATGTTTCCCGACTGAGCGCCTTCGTGTGCATTTAAGCAGATTAAGTGTGTTTAACAAAAAACCGATGTTTCAATCAGCGATGACATTTCGGCGCCGGACCTCTCATGACATTACCGTCAACCAGGCCAGCTCCGCTCTGACGCTCCTCTGTCTGAGTAGTGCTGAATGCCACCCTCTAGTGGCCAATTGATTCAATGACAGTCAACCAAGAGTAGGAAATGTCCAAACACTCAAGCACTCCATGGAGTTATTAAAAATCTAACCAATCTACACATACTGTTGTAACAACAGTCCATCCATCCCTGGACTGGGGGGGGCACTGTCCTTAAGAATGCAGCCATGAACAATCATGCTAAAATTACTTCCAAATAATTTAATGTAAACTGATCAAATTTTATTAATAAAATCTTGAATTATATCTTTTTTATCTGAGATTTTGAAAAGCAAACAGACAAGTGGAGATGTCTTTATGCCCCCCCCATTCAGAAGTGTTCACTGATCCAGGTTAGGGTCACATGGGGTGGGCTGGAGCCAATCACAGGCACAGCACAGGGCAGAAGGCTGGGATGAGATGCCAGTTCATTACACACGTGCACACACATACACGATAAGACATGCCGATTACCGGAAGTGAATATCTATAGACTGTGGGAGGATCACTACATGGGAAAACAAACAAACTCTACACACTCTGATCAGAGGCAGGATTCTAACCCCTTGCCCTGGAGGTGTGAGGCAACAGTGTCACCCTGTCCCCACTGTATCTACAGACATCTGCTCCACCAATCACTGTGGCATATCAGACTGTTATCTGGGGCTCCCCCACAGATATGCCAGGTGCTTTAAATCCACAGTAACTGTATGACCCACAATCCTTTGCTGGAAGAGATGGCCCAGGAAGCGAGCCTTTAAAGTGTTCTGCTCCTTTTACAAACGCAGTGAGAGAAAGATCAAAGCCCACAATATCAGATGTTTAATGAACACCTTAGGAGTGCACAGTCTGTCTTTTCCACCACGGCCTATATACTGTAGAGTATATATGTCCAGCTTGATAGGTACTCCCTCTGTACACTGTAAATTATATATGTGTGAAAACATTACACTACCACCTGTCATTGTACTGCTAATCTTTTTGAACATTATTTAAGGATAATTTCTTATTACTCTCTATTAAATGTTCATCATCCTCCTTTATCTTTTTTAACCTTATGTTCCTTGTTACTGGTCTTGGAATCGGGCAACCAAGCATTTCACTGCAAACTGTACTGAGTATAACTGTGACAAATAATGCTTTTTTTTTTTTGTTCCCCTAGTGCCCTCTAGCTATGGTCTGCGAAAAGACCCCACTCTCTCCCACCCTCCAGTGACCCTGTCTGTGTTTAAATTCCCCTGGTCCAGCTTCTATATCCATATCTGTCTCTCTGCAGTTTCCTTTGCAACTGATAGTGTCCATCCATCCATCCATCCATCCATCCATCCCATTCCATATGTGTCCATGTTCTTATGTCTGCAGTATGTCCATGTGTCAAAGAAGATACAGAGCTACTTGGACACAGTCACACACACAACATGGCATGGTAGGGCTATCAGAGACACAACATGTATGTCTTTGTCCCCCCACCTTGTTCAGGGTGATAATGGCTTCACTCTCCAGCCCCGTGATGTTAAAGGTGTCACCACCCTCGGAGTCAAGGATGCTGAACTCCAGCTTGGCGTTCTCCCCCAGGTCCGGGTCAGTCGCCGAGAGTCGGCCCACTTCTGCTCCGGGCAAGGCCAGCTCCGACACCGAGAACGACCAGGAAGCTGTGAGGACGAGGCACGGAGATCAAATCAGAAGCACATTTTCCTATAGCAAACATCCTCACAAGTGCTGATCAAATAGCACATTGGAGACTGGCTTGAGAAATGGCTGAGCTTAAGGTTGATCAAAGATTCATCTCTTTTCAGGACGGGAAGTCTGAGTAGCTAACAATGCCATTTGGACTCCCAGAGATTTTTTTAGATTCATTTCTTTCCTCTCTTGTTCATTTTTCCCTCCCATATGTCTGCATAACATTAATTTCCCATTAACCAGGTGAATATCCATGAATAAATAAACAAGCTGAAGTCGGCCTTTTTCGGAACTTGAACTCGGCCCCTGACACCATCAGCCTACAGAAGCCGCAGAAGCAGGCTGCAGTGAATTGGCAGCTTCTGCCAGGGCGGGGCTCGTCATCAGTACTGAGGCCTCCGTATCAGTCCAGCTGCGTTCGACATCAAGCGGGGACTGGGGAAAATAAGATGGGTTATTCGCACCGCCCCAGGTGAATGTCTGTGCTGATTGGTCTCCATGGTGACACACACTTTGGCTAATTGACTGGGCACTGGCCGCCTGGCTCTGGAAGGGTTTATCTTACGAGAACATAAGGCAAGCTCACGGTAAACGTTCCCTCCCGCTCGACTCTCTTTGGCGTGCCCCCACCCACCCCCTGGCCCCTTGAGGATGGAGTGAGATTCCAAGTTTTTGCAGCGTGACACATGGGCAAAGGGAGCAGGACGCTGCATCTAAGCTCAGAATATAAATACAACCGAAATTTGCTTTTTATTTCTGAAAAAGGCCTAGAAAATGGCTTCGGCTCACAGAAGCAGAATTTTTCTTCACACACATGGACACAGAAAAGCAGCAGCATAATAAGACGTTTATGTTTATGTATGTTATTGTCATTTGCGTTCATTATTGATTAATTTACTGCGAATACCTGTTCCATTCCCAGGGAGGATGCTGATTATTATTGCTAATTAAAATCACAGTACTGGCTTCCGGCGCTGTGGAACAACATGGACGGCTAATCTAAGAACTCCCTTGTGCCAACTTTAAAACTCCGCTAAAACTCGAGTAAATTGCGCTGAGTAATTAAAAATAAAAAAAAATAAAAACTCATTATGAGCGGAGGAACAACNAAAATCACAGTACTGCACTTCAAGTAGTGGCATAAATTATTTTATTATATTACTTTCATAATTTCATATTATTAATCTTCAGTCACATATTGCCCCTGGAGGCTTAAGCCTATAAAATAAATACTGTGTTGAATTTAAACTATTTTCAAATTAATATCTTAACTAGCCAAATTCTTTGCTGCCTTGTAATTAACAAATGACCTGGAGTGGCACAAATTTAGTGCACGTTCCCAGACCCAAAAACATTTTAGCTAACTTGTTTCCTCAGCAAAGTGCAGTAAAGCCTCATTATTTAAAACCCATTTGTTATACAGAGTTAATAATTTATTGTATTCAGGATCACGCCTATAAAAAAAAAAAAAGAAAAAAAAACTTCAAAAGGGCAATGAGCATTAACATCCAAAAAAATAATAACCCAAAGCAACAGAGTTTAATAATGCATCAAAATCACAGGATCACCACCACCGGCATGCACAAACACATTCACCGTAGACGAGTCTGTGTGCACGTACAGGCATTTGGTGTGTGTATGTGTGTGTGTGTGTGTTTAAAAAAAAGAAAAACACAAATTGTGCCTCTGGTTTTGGTTTCCTTCCTCTAGGGATCTCTAAATAAGCAGGAGACCTGTAGGTCCCCTCATTAAAAGAGAAGACACATCCTACAAGTCCTACACAGTCAAGGTCTTCATGCCAGCGAAGATTCGGGCCTTCAAAAAAGAAAAAAGAGAACCACTCTCATCGGCACCTCTAAATCCGTCCCCTTCCCCCCCTCACCTTCGAGATAACAGAATCAATTTTACAAACACAGTCATTTGCAGCCGGCTGATTGGCCCCCTGCCTCCACCCCACCCCCCACAGTTTACCGTGATTGGCTCGCACATCTACCGGGAGCACGGTAAGCGACAGCGGCGTTTTCTTATAAAGAAAATAAATGAAAGCGTGTGCTTTGAAATCAAAAGCAGGACTCAGCTCGGATCCCTGTGTTTATATATTTGCTTGTTTGTTTTCTTTTTGGTCGCTCTCTCTTCTTCTCTATGTCTATTTAGATTTTGGAGCAGTGCAGCGATAGTGAGCAATGAATCGATTCCTTCCCTTCGGGGAGGCGTGTGAGATCAATCTAGAGGAGCCCCTGCTCAAAGGCAGACTTATCACACCCACCCTCACAGGCACACCCCCAACCCTGACCCTCAAGACCTTGTCAGCACTGCTCCTGGACATCTGACTCAGCGGTGCCCCCCTTTGACCGAATTGGTCATTACGTGAGAGCAAAACAGAGAAGTGTGGGATAGAAAGGAATAAACACAAAGGATATTTGGGGTGAGTTTGAGTGTTGTTTTTTTGGGGGGGGGGGCTTAATTTATTTAAGCTGTGAAAAAGGAGACACGGAGTCATGTTCCGGAAAAGTGTCGAGCTCGCTAAAAGCCAGCATGTGATGAACACGGGCATGAAATCTGCACGCCTTCAAATGCGGCAAGGAGATGAGACTGAGCACCACCCGGGGGGGGAGGGATTACTGCGGGTGTGAAGGGCGGGGGGGGGCGTAGGAACAGCAGAATAACGAAAGTGAGGAAGACAGGAGCGAGACATTCCCATCGGCTGAAACGCAACTGAACCCAATTCCGATACAATTCCCCCATCATTTGGTTGCAAAGCCCTCAAGATGGGTGAGACAATGCCCAGCCCAAGGTGTAAATGAGCTATGCGGATGTTTAGGGCTTGCAGGTCACTAGGGATGGGCAGAAGAGGGGCCACTATTCATACAGATAGGCTAACCTTATTGGCCAATGATGTGTTTTGAATCAGTGAGTGACAGAGAAGGGGGGCAATCAGCATCCAGCTAGGGTCAGTGCCCTTGTGGCCCCGTCCCTGGTTTAGTATCATTTGCTTGCATTGAACGATAAACCCCAACTCTCTGTGGTCACCTCTCCTGTGTGTTGTCCAGGGCCCGCCCAAGGAATCAGCAAACTAAGCGGCTGCCTAGGTCCCAGTGGCCACCAGGGGGCCCCCTATATGATCAAGGAAGATGACAAATGACAATAAAGTTAATTAAATTTTGCGTGGGGCCCCGAAAAGTGTTTGGCCAGCCCTGTGTGTGGGTGTGTGCTCACCCTGCATCACTGAACAAGAATAATGCCAATAAAGTGATGTTACGCCGTGGAAATATGGTGTATAAGGGCAGCTGGAAGTACACAGACTTTATTTATTTAAGTGTGTGTGTGTTATGTGTGTGCTTTATTATTTATGTATAATTGCGCATTCCTGCACCGTTTCTCCCCCGAGCTGTCGAACCCTCATCCGCATCGAGGCTGCTCATGTTCCAGCCCTGCCCTTGGGATCTAATCGCCCGCCGCGATTCGAATTAATCTCAGGTGCTCCAGGGTTACAGCAGCAACATTACAGGGACAGAGCCGATAACAGAGGCCGTTTACAGCAAAGGCCATGCTCAGCATTTAACGATTTCATGTCTTTACAAGGTGGACTCAGTGAGGGAGTCCCGGTAACTGTGGCCTGTGAGGCCGTTTTGTGAGACACGTAGATTGAGATTTGGTCAGCCGTCCTTGACAGGGATGCATACAGGGGTGGGGCCATGGGGGCAGGAAGATAACTGGCCCGCTCCCCTGTCACTCATCAATTTAAAGCATATCATTGGCTAATGATAAGGTAGGCCCCACTCTGTGAATTGCACCCTCTTTTATGCCCCCACTTTACAAAATCCTAGAACCATACTATACTAAATGGAGGAGAGTCCTGAAGAGTCCAGTCCACCCTCGAGGAGACGGACTGAGCGGCAGCCCTTGCCGAGCTGGAAATACAAACTCCTTGTTGAATGTGGCACTGCTTGTTTGACCTACTAGCAGCAGATCAATATTGCATCATCCATGTCACCATCCAGCCATGCTAAGATCATCACAACAACCACCCCCAAGGTGATAAATGAAATGGGATAGTACACCCGGGAATACTCGGGGTCTGACATCCGTGCTTTTTATCTCCGGCAACGCATAACACCCGATTTTGCAAACAGTGTTAAAGTTGTGCCACATAAAAGTGCTGGAGGCACGGCGGTAGATGAGATCCCTCACTGCTCCACGGGCGACAGACCTCTGATTTTACCCTCTATAAAGCCGGCTGCGACCGCACTTACCCGTGACAAGACTCCGGGGAGGATAATTTAGCGGAAGTCTGCGCTATGCAACTCGGTAGAATTCATCAGGAGGGCCGAGCTTCACGGTCGGATACAAAATAAAAGAACATTTTAAAGCAGAACCGCCTTACTTTTATTAAGACTTATCCTCTGTTCCAGAAAAGAGGATTTGCCTTTTCCAGGACCAGAGAAGAGTGCTAATCTGTTGGGATCTGAAAGTCGGGACTGTTGAGTGCGCTTCCCGAACACTCAAGATGAACACACCACTAGCTAGAAGCCCTACTACCTTATTCGCCCAAGAAGAAGAAATAATGACATGACCTACAGGTCTTTTGTGCATCTGTTGTGTCTCGTCAACAAACAAAATTACAGTCTCTACGTATTATATGAGCCATACAGCCTGGAAACAGGGAAACTCCCTCAGGAATTTGCCAAGGATGGTATAAGAGCCAAAAACTCCTACACCACATCAACACTACAGGTGGGGAACCTGGAGAGATGAACACAAAGCAAACAAGTAAACCAAGTGAAGGCATCTGGGCCACAAACGGGGACTGAGACAGCCAGGGAGAACCGTCACCCATCCGTCTACTGAGCAACACGCTCGTTCTTCACCAGGGTGATACGCTGGCCATGTTTTCACATTCCTTTGGTGCGCTCACTTAATGTGGAGTGTGTTTCTGGTTCAAGTGCATAGGCGAAACATCACGTCTAGTACC